AGGGGGCCAGGATAAGGTGTGTGTGGGGGGGGAGTGGGTTAGCTCCGCATGTTGGAAGGGGCAGGGCTGAGGACAGAAGGGGCGGGAACCCCCTCAGCTCTCAGAGCCACGTGTTGTAGTGCTCCAGTGGCAATTCAAAGATGTCCAGGGGGCTGGATGACGACAGCATCACTGCAAGGCAATTTTCCCCTTTCCCCCCTCTGTCATTGGGCCCTGGTGTGGATGTGCTCCAGCCAACATGGCTTCTTGCACTCACAAGGGCTGGAATAGCTAAGCCAGCAGGAAATCGGTATTGAGCAGGTTCATTAGAGATCTAGCAGCAGGACAGCTGCACTGTTGCAACTGTGCCACTATAAACTCTCTAGTGTAGCAGATCCCTTAGAAGTTCTCTCTCTCGTTCTCTGTGAGGTCAAAAGAGCAGAGCTTGTGCTGAGCATGTCTTAAACATGAGGCTCATCATGCTAATCAAACGCTTATTCCTATGGCCTTGTTTCTGCCACTAGACAGGGATAACTTGGAAGCTACTTTCATCGTAGCCGGATTAGGTTTCCCTGTGCTCCCCAGTTCGCTCATCACCTTTTATCTGGTACTTAGGTTTGTCAATCCACACTTGTGCGGCACAGGAGCTAGTTCTACATGACTGCTTGGCAAGTGTCTAATAAAAAGTTAAAGCCTTTCACTCTCAAATTAAAATAGCTCAGATTAAAAACATTTACTTACTGAAAGGGAACACATTTTAATGAAATGTGGCACTTTTAGCACCTGCCTGAAGACACTGATAACTGAAAACTTCCAGCAGTAAGATTCAGGCATTTGACATACTGACAATTGTGAATTCCTTTTAAAATCAGTTTGTCTGTCATACCTATGTAGTTACAAAATAACAAAGGGACAATAAAGTTCAATTGTATATTCACAGTTTGAGGTTTCTATTGACAGATCTTCACACTGAATGCTGCTACAAGAAAGGCTGATTATGTAGCCCTGTGTTAAAAAAGAACTGAAAAACCCTCCTTTGTTAAGACTCCCTTACACACCATTTCTAGCTTTTGGAATCTTTCAAGGGACACTGTCAAAGTTGACAGGCTCTAAAGTTGGCCTCCTCTCACCAAATTATATTGGCAGATTTAAAATAACCATCAAGAGGAGGGGGAGGGGGAAACAGTTGTCAATCACTCCAAATCAAGAGCTACAACAGTGTTAAACATCCCAACTCCAGGCAGGGAAGCGTGAGCAAGCAACAATTAACCCCTGGGTTTTAGTGGAAATCAGAAGTATCAGTGCACAGAATATGAGCTGATATATTGTGACAGAATCTACCCCCGGGTTCACACCCTGCACTCTACTATAGTAAATTTTATACAAGACATGTCTTGTAATGTATCATTTGAAAACTCATAACTTGCTGGTCATCATCCTGATACAATGTGTGTGGCAACATTATATGTAAAGGTATAAGATTTTCCTATTTGATGTTATTAGCACATGTTCCAAACCCTACCACTCTATCCAAACAGAAGCTAGCAAATAGGTCTGTCCTAAACAAAGGAATGAGTGCTCTGTACGGCTTTGTAACTTAAGACACCCAATGTTGCAAGGCAAGGAGAGCACAGAAGCTCATGTGTTAGGATTGTACCCAGCTGTGTCACACATCTCTTCTACTCTCAGTGCTTGCAAAATAGCCATGGTACATTGTCCACTGATAGGGGAGAGATCTTCATAGGTTTTACCTGTTAATTCCAACATTTTCTTTTACAGTGGAGAACAGATATCCTTTTCCGCAAGGAATCACACTTCTGTAGCTGTCCTTTCAAAAGGGAATAGCATGCAGAACTTAGAGCATGGGATTTTGTGGTTCTGTCCTAGAGCTAAGTGGAAGTATGCCACTGCCGTACTATGACCTTATGCAATTTATTTTGCTTCTTTGGATCCTCATTTACCTTAAACTAGATCTGATATTTGCCCAGTTCACAAGGATGTTGTGTGGTTTATTCTGTCCAGCTTCATCCTGAATCCTTGTTCAGACAAAAATCAAACTGTAGTCAAGTAGTTTTGATTAAGGACTGAGAAATCTTGACTGTTTTGCCATGTTTTTATGAAATGCTTTGAGATCCTAGGATGAAAGTTACTCTAGAAGTGAAAAGTATCAATAAACTTCCCAATGGAATTTCTGCCAAAGATGGTAGAGTATGGTGAAATCCCTGACTCAAAACACAGAATGAGATATCTGTTGCCATAGATTCATAAATTATTAGGTTTAGGTGTGCATACAGTCCATCTACATAGCAAATGACATGAGTGAGGAAAATGTTTCATGTTTGCCAATCAGATTGGTGGGAGACACATTTTCCAGGAAAATATTGCTAGTTGCTTTGCTGCATATTTACGCAGCAACAGAAGGATGGAACAGAATTGTCACATTGTCCCATTGTACCCACCCCACGTGTTGTGTGCCTTCAAAATGGACAAATCAAACCTTTGAGTTGACTTTAATGTGATGACTGCTTATTATTAAATGTGATTATCTATACATACTGAATGTCAAAAACAGACTCTTCCCATATATGTTTTTGGTACACAGAACAAAATGGTAGAAATGGCTGGAAGATGCTAGAATCCAACATAAAAACAAGCATGGCTTCAATCCAGCCACATGTCTTTATGTGGATCTGGAATAGTAGATGACAAAGCCAGAATCTGAGGGCAACAATAAGTGACAGACAAACATGTGAACTCACAAGAAACCACAGTACAGCTGGGATTAGTACATTGCCTTAAGGAGAATGTTCTTGGGTTCAGAACTTATCAGAGAATTTTACAATGTGCTCATCCTTATGGCAGACCATTCTTTCTCATCAAAAGTTGTAAACTTGACGTTTTCTGGTATGTAAATATCTCCTTAAAATATTCTGTATTGCCACAGTGAACACTATCATGTTATGATCAGTGAAGTACTGCCCTGTATTTAGTCTTTTATTTTAACTAAACAGAAATAGAGTTCTCAGACGAATGATATTTAGCTCTGGTCTACATTAGGGGATAAGTTCAATTAAGACATGCAACTTCAGCTACGTTAATTGCATAGCTTAACTCAAAGTATCTTAATATGAACTTTGGTGCCAACCACACTGTGGGAAGTCGAATGGAGCACCTCCCCCTTCGACTTCCCTTACTCCTCATAGAAGCAGGACTACCAGAATCGACCAGAGTGCCCTTCTCAGTTCGAATTACCATGTCTTTACTAGACCCACTAATTCGAACCCTGGAAGATCAACTGTGGCTGCTTCGATCTTATCTATAGTGTAGACATGGCCTTACTAATTATCTGATTGGGCAGGATACACTGTACATCATGGCTGCGTCTAGATTGGCATGGTTTTCCGTTAAAAGCATTTTCGGAACAGAGCAGCTAGATTGGCACGGACGCTTTTCCACAAAAGCACTTTTTGCGGAAAAGTGTCCATGCCAATCTAGACGCACTTTTCCACAAAAAAGCCCCGATTGCCATTTTCGCAATCGGGGCTTTTTTGCGGAAAATAAATCGGAGCTGACTACATTGGCCCTTTTGTGCAAAAGCTTTGCGCAAAAGGGACTTTTGCCTGAATGGAGCAGAATAGTATTTCCGCAAGAAACACTGATTTCTTACAGTAGGAAGTCAGTGCTTTTGCGGAAATTCAAGCGGCCAGTGTAGATAGCTGGCAAGTTTTTCCGGAAAAGCGGCTGATTTTCCGGAAAAACTGGCCAGTCTAGACACAGCCCATGTGTCTTGTTATGCTAGTTATAATACAGCACTTTCTGGACTATGCTGGCGGCTGGTGATAGTTGCCTAGTGTAGATATAAAACAGAAGTTCTGTAGTTTAATTTCCTACAAAGCATTCTGCATAAGCTCTGTGAATGATCATTCATGTTAGTAAACACCACACAATAACACTTATGTATTCTTATTGTCCAGGAGCATTAATGAGAGAAGTTATTTGGGGTCTTCCTTTTACTTTTAATAGCTCTTTTTTAAAAAAGAGATTGCTTAGTCCCAAAAGACAAAATGAACTGAATCAAATATAGAATCCTTGGGGAAATAAGGATTCATCTCTATCTTACATAATGCTGCTTCCCTCCAAGTCTGTGTTTCTTTATGGGCTCACACCCTTAAGCTCCTGTTATACAGACCATCCTCAGAAATAGTGCACAGCCTTTAGAAACGCAACCATCCAAACTAAACCTAGCGATCACAGCAGTGTTGCACGAACTCCTGGGTTGACGCTGAGAGTACAAACCTGGTCTGAGAGAGGATTTCACTAGTCTTTTACAAAACATTTCTGTGAAGTAGAGGGAAATAATCCGCACCAGATTTCCCACAGAACTTCCTCTCTACTCATAGATCTACCACCTCTCATATGAAGGAGTCAGTTGCCTTCATAACCCTGCACTCCAGATCACATGAAGTAGGAACACAACAGGGATATCAGCAGCAAGGTATCCACAATGCAGCCTAAGTTTTCATTAGCTTTCCCACAGCCCTCTCCAGGCAGGAAGGATGGTTCTAGAGGTTTCCCTTATATCATGCCTATGGTACATCTACGCTGCCATACACACAGTTCTTGGCCTTTCCCAGATTTGGATTAGGAGGTGGGTGGGGAGAGGGTCACCGAAAGTCCTTGTGCTTCCATTAGTGGTCATATTCCTTCTCCCATAGTGCTTTCATGGAGATCCCAAATGCTCAGCTGCACACAGGCAGCACATTGGTTCAAAGATCAGGCCCTTCTGATTTAAAAACAGGATCTGAATTACTTGCTGTAATAGTTACTCTTCAAATAAATACTGATAACACTGACAACTTTTACAAAAATGTATCAATTACCTGTCACGATGTTGTATGATTAGTACCTGAGGCTGGACAGTACCATAAGCATCAACCTCGGGCACAGTGAAATCATCAATTAAATAAATAATTTTTTAGCACTTGGGGGAGAATAATTTCTTCTAGTTTTCTCCACCATAGGTCTTTTGAGAACACCTGTCAATGGAAGAGATGCTGTGAGAGGATAAATGTTGAGGCATTGGTGTAGCAGAAGGCTTCACGCTTACAAATAGGTGACCAAGTGTTTTACTTTAAAGCACATGAACCCTCCCATTAGACAGCTCACATCAAGGTGAAGCACCTGCTGGAATGCCGGCAGGCTCAGGGCCGAAATGTTGCTCTTTTGGATAATCCCTTATGCCAGAAAACCGTAACAGGTATCAGTTTGCTTATGGACGCAGACTGCTGTTACTGCTGCTCATTTGTTACCACAACAGAGGAAATTATGACAAACCATTAAATAAACTTAAAGGGAGGCTCAATTTCTTCATATAGGTTACTGTTGATTTATATGCTCCATCGGTTTAAACAGCCTGTTCAAATTTTGAAATAAAATGTTGCCCAGCAAATATTGTTGATTACCATTTAGCATTTCTTCCATTTACCTCCCTACATTTATTTAAAGTAAATTTAGGGCTAACAGAGAGAACATGCCAACCTGACAGCTCTCAAGAATGAAACCCTCTCCTCTGTCAGTCACAGAATTGCAGAACTGGTACTATATAGGCAGAGAGAGCACATGTCTTCCCATAGTGACTTGGAAGGATGTCTGTTAGGGTGGAAAGTCTAGATCAGTCTACAAATACACTATACTTCTGCCTTCTTTGCTGAGTCTTCCTGAATGGGTATCAAAGCTTCCACGATTCAGACACACATCTTAGAAAGTTAACTGAGAGCTTTAATTCATTTTTCATAGGAAATGGAATGGCCAGATAATGATTTGTTCACATTATCAATTTGAACCAACAACATGGAAGTGAAATGTTCCTTATCCCATTGCCAATCTCTGAGCCATCTCGTCCCTTTTAGCCCATTTTACATTTTTCTTTTGGTTAAATCTTTGCTTGCACATCATCAGCAATAGCAGAATATCACAGACAGAGGACCTTTCATTAATTTGTGGTGGTTTTCTGCCGGCTGCCCTGTAGCATAATGCAAAATATTGTAGCTAAATAGTGGCTGTATTTTTTTTTCCAAATTCTCTATTACAATAAAGGTAGCTAAAATAAAGTTGTAAGAATCAGGACATTTTCCATCAGGGTTTAACAATTTTATGTCAGGTACTGGACCTAGAGTGCCATTCCACTCTTCTGCCATATAATATAAAAATCTAATACTTCAAGCACTACATTGACAATAGTGAAAGAGTTATTCACCACTCAATTAGTGATTTCCTACATTAATATCTTGTCTAGCCTGGAAAATGAAATGGCAACATGATGTAAACTCTTCCATTAGAAAATATAACATTTCTTTGGGAGAGTTACTGTCAGTCATTAACTGAGCTTTTTTGGGTTGTTTAGGTGCAAGCTGAATGTGCATTTGTCCTTATGATAAAGAAATGGATTCTCCTCTCCCTTAAACGAGTGCTAATCAATAGTAACTGTATTGACATGGATCAAGTCCCACTGGGACAGAGACTGGCTAAGAGAGAGGAGAATTAGGCCCTTAGAGTGGGGAATGGTTATAATTACATATTCTGAAGCATAGCAGATGTTGTGTAGTAAATGAAAGGGACTTTGGCCACCATGTAATCTTCTGATATCTTGGTAACATTGTCTGACACAACGGCTGCTTTTCGAAGCCCAGCATTTCCAATTAGCATAATTGGCTTCTCCTTCTTCAAAAGTAAATCCACAGAATATCTCAGGTAAACTGTTTCAGTAGTATAAATCAAGGCAAACTACTTGCAAAGAAAAATTCTATGCATGTGTGTGTGAGACACAAAGAAAGGTATATGTTATGCAGTTTAAATTCTACCGCAAATCAAATAGTTTGTTTTTAATACTTCAGTGTAGTGACAAGTGAGTGAATTAATATGCAAGATTAAACAAGTAGAAATATACAGCAGAATTTATATTTAACAATCTTAATTTTGTAAAAGCAGTGAATTATTTTTAACACTGCAAAAATCAGGAGTTAAATAGATAGTCTAGTAAGATTACATTATATGGCATAGTAGGATACTGCATTTTCCTGTCACTGGAAAGAGAGTGAAATATAATATTAGAATTATTGCAATCTCTATATGCACATTTTCAAATATAAATGGCATGCTATAAACATAACTCATTCCACTACTGTATGATTATGTTGAAATAATATAACATGGTTATAAATGAAGAGAAATGATGCTGAATTGCCTTATCAGATAGTTGAAATGAAATACTATCCAAGAAGATCAGAATTAACATTGGGAAACTGAGTAAATACTGTAGCAATAGTTTCATTCTCAGAAAAGCACCAATTTCTTTTGAAAATGAAACTGCAGATATACTTTTATATTTATCACACCAGGTACTTCATTCACACGGTAGAAAATAGCCATATCATTGGCAGAAATGAAGTATGAAGTCAGCTTTATAAAAAATAAAATGTGCATCCTGTAATGCACCATTATTTATACAAACCTGTGAACTGGAGGAGGCAGATAGAAAAATTTATATTCTTGTTGGGTGGGATGTGTTTTTCATATTGAATACATCACACACATGCAGTTGTGTTGTAACTGTGTGTCTGTGCATGTGCATATAAACACAAGTTATGAGTGGAAAGGTCTTGTGTGAATGTTTAGTGGTTAAAACATGACAATGGGAAACAGTGTTTTTGAGTTATTTTCTTGCATGTGCCATTAAAAGACAAATGTGTCTTTGAGTAACTCCAGATCTATACTATAAACTTACATTGGTATAATTATGTCACTGCATACTGAGTGATGCAGTAATTCCGACTTAAGCAAGAGATGGTAGCTAAGTTGACAGGAGAAGCTCACTGAACTATTGCAGCTGTGCCACTGTGGTGTAGACCTGCCCTTAGTTAGTTAACTTCTCTGTGTCTCATCTATTATTCTAGTGGATAAACTATTTGACAGGGAGGTTGCGAGGGTTAATTAAGGTGCTTTCTTTGAGATCTGTGGATATAAGGTGCTAAATAAGCACAATGTATTTTAACATGGAAAAATGGTAGTCTCCTCTTAGTTAAGACTGCAATCACCTTCCATTGTACAAAGCTCTCTCTTTATAACTTTGACTTGAAAATTGGCTTGACCTAAAATTTGCCATGTTTATTGTGAACATAAAGGACCATGTTTCTATGTCAATGAAGCCAACTGAGAAGTCAAAACCAAAACAAATGACTGACCCAAAATAAGGTGACATAGTATTTTCATTATCAGTCCCTCAAATTACTATTTTCAAATTACTCCTTCTCCCATGCTTCCCTCCAAAATCCTCCACTGGCCTATGGGGCCTGGTCCAAATCGGGTGAAAGGGGGGCTTCAGCACCTTCTGCCAGTCAGTCTGGGAATCAGCTCAGTTCATAGAGTGTGCCACCTTCTAGCCAGTGTCTCGCCTATCATCATACTGCTTCACTGTCTCCATTGTCTCTCTGTGAACCCACATCATGCCCCAGACTATGGCATCCTCTTCAGGACACTGCCCTCTTGCAGTGCCCACCTCTCCATTCTCATCCCCTTCCATGGGTATCAGCAGTCCTCAGTCAGTGCACCTGCTCCTGTGGCTAACTGCAGCCCAAAGTCTAGCCTGTTGCCTCAGGGGGCAAATTATAGTCTATAGGCCATGCTTCTTACCACAGTGGGGCCGCTACCCCACTACATGGGGTAACTGAGGAAACACAACTTTAAATGACTTGGCAGAGATTATACTTTATAGGAAGTTTTTAGCAGAGTTTTGAACAGAACTCTGATCTTACTGGTAGCTTAGGCTACCAGTACTATGACTACATAAAATAAAACCAACCAAACAACAAACTTTGGGAAATTACAAAATTAAAATATTTGGTTTTAAAATCCCATTGTTAAGAGCCAACAATGTTCCTACCTAGAACATCAGTTACAAAAGTCAAGTCACTTAAAAAAGCAAGGAAATTAACAGATAAGGACTAAAATGAAGTGAAATTTTTCAGACAAAACTGGTTTAGCTAAAAAAATGCATATATTGGTTGACTGAAGCACGTGGTAAATTTATGCCAAATTCTGGTTGAAAAATAATCTAAAATTTCCAAAGAAAACATTTTGGTATTTTTATTCAAAACGACTTTTCATTCCGAATTTTGCTTTAATTTTATTTTTAAAATCTCACAAAACAAAATCATATATTTTTTATTTGTTTTTATAAAAAATTTCAAAAAATCATTTTGGGTCAACCTGATTTTCCCTCAGGCAATTGTTAATTATACCACTGTGGTAAGAACTTGTACACAGCCCTCATTTTACAAAGCTCACATAAGAAACAAATATTTTTATTAACTATTAAAACCCAACCAATATTAATGTAGGCCATGAGCCACCTTGATCTTTTAGAACAAAACTGTTCATTGACCAGTATAGTCTGCTCATCAAGCAAGAAGACTAATGTAACACTACAGCACAATTTTCCTTGCCACAAACCTTTGCACTTATCATGCCCTGCAGTACTGCCATTTTTCTTTAACTGAGCTGTCAGGCCTAGCAATAAGGAACTGCAGGAGAGCTAACTACAAGAAAAGGCAAAGGGAAAAAAAAGGTGGGTGAACTGGAATGCTTTGTTCCAAGTTTAAATGGAAAACTAGAATGAAAAGCCCCTGCAGATAAAAGATGTTGGCGAGAGATCTTAAAGGCTGTTATGAAGTTAAATAATTTTTTAAAAACATGGTGAAAAAAGACAAAGAGTAGATACAAGAAAACTTTAAAGATATACTCAAACTGTAATTCTGGACTGGATTGCCAACATTCCCCAAAGTGCAGAGATTTTTAGATTCAGTGCTCTGCTCTAGTCATATATAACCATAGGAAGAGGAAATGAGAAAATATAAAATGCAAAATCAAGGAAGAAAAATGGATGGCTATAAACCAAGTGTGGAGAAATGGCCCTTGCAGTGTGAGTTTAAAAGGCAGGTCAGCCCCAACCACTATTCAATTCCTCAATTAATAGAAATCCAAATAAGGGCTTAATATAATTGGAGAAGAGGGGCAATTCATGAGATCCAACGAACACCAAATTGAGTAGGTAAAAGAATTTCTCTTTGTGGTGAGCCCTTTTTCCTCATGGACTCCACTGTAAGCAAGCAACTTCCAGTTGCCCTTCAAGGAGGGGAGTGATAGGAGTCCCCGTCTCAATAATAATTGTAGAAAATTGGCATCTGATTTAGAATCTGTGGCAATGCAGTAGTAACTGTTAAATCTATGAACTCCAAGTGGCTGGGCTACAGGATTTCAGGGATAGAGACACTTTTTACAAAAAAGTACAGAATCATAGGCATGAAAGGGACTTCCAGAGGTCATCTAATTCAGTCCCCTGCACGCATGGAAGGATTATGTATTATCTGGACCACAGGGAGATA